ATCATGTAAAAAAAATTTCAACATTTATTGTTTTCAAGTCCGACCAATTTTGCAGCAACGAGACCATTTTCTTAAAAACTCTTGAATTGGGTTCTTGTTTAAACACTGTTGTTTTAAATCAATGTTATTATATAAACTAGATGTCTAAGCTTTTTGCCTTTTTACAAATGGCGGATTAAATTTGTAAATAAATATTTTTAACTTTTTTTTTCTAAAATGAAGTAATTATATTTTAAATTTAAATACTTTTTATGTAAAAATGTTCAGCGGAAAATAGAATACTTGTAAAATAAAAATTTATGATTCCTAAATTTATTTTCGAGTAAATACGGATTAAAGTTTTGAATAGTAAAGTAAAACAACAGACGCTTTTGAAGCATTTTCATAAATTAAAATACTTTTTAATAAACATAAGTTCATAAAAAAACTTTTATAAGTATTTGATATCTTTAATTTATTTGAATTATCTTTAATTTATTGGGAAATTTTGACATGCATTTTTAACATTTATTCCACACTTCGGCCTTCGCCTTTGCCTTTTTTACAAACAGTGGAATATTGTTATAAACAAAAAAAAGCGGTTTCATTTTTGTCCAATAAAATCCCGCAAGATAGACATCTAGTTTACATAATATATCATTGTTTTAAATAGTTTTTAAAATACCTCTAAGATGGTTAGCCTATTACACGCGAGTCAACTTTTTAACAGAAGATATCCAGAATTCTAACTATTTTTTTCATTTCCCCACCGAAATCCTTCAAAATTTATAGCGTCATATTTTAAGGCGAAATCTCAATAGTTGGTGTTACGATAGTTACGATAGTTTTTGCCCTATATGATTATGTGTGTTCTAACCTACTTTTTTATTATTATTATTAAATTAGAATGAAAATCAAAATTATAAAGTTTTTGGAAATTTTTAACAAAGTTTTTGAAATAAAGTAGTATTGCTAATTGAGGTTTTTATTTAGGGTTAAGGGTGGAATGCAAGAAGTGAACTTGAGTCAAGCTTGACTTGAACTTTACATTGCAACCAATAGCGACAGAGTACGGGTTTTCTCCTCAAAAAATACTCTGCAGCTATTGGTTACTAAGTAAAGTTCAAGTCGAACTTGACTCAAGTTCGCTTCTTGCATTCTACCCTAACCGAATTTGATAAGGGCGAGAGAAAAAGAACAACGACAACAAAAAAGAATCTTCTGAGTATATATGATTTCGATTGAAACCAAAATATTCTATTACATACTCCGAAGAATCTTTTTTTTCTGCAATTTATTTATTTTTTAATATTTAAAATTTAAAATAATAAGCTTTTTAAAAATTTTGAATTGTGAGAAAATTCAAATTTTTTTGTATAGTACAAATTGTTGTTAGTGTAAAATGTTGATTTGATACTTGTGTAAAATCTTTTCGTTAAGTGGTGTTAAATGTTGTTGTTATGTTGTTGATGTTAAAAGTTGCTGTTAATTTTAAATTAAGTTGTTACGTTTTAGGTGTAAAATAATGTTATGTTGATATGTTGTTTGTGTAAAATATTGTTGCTATTTTTTTAATTTAAAAACTGAATTGTTATTTTGTTGGTGTTGTATGTCGTGTGTTCGGTTATGGGTGAACACAGGAGCGCAACCCTGTTTTTAATGGTCCAGATAAGTAACTTGCCGGAATAGATGAATACCAAACATTTGCGTAATCATAATGCAAAGCAAGTGTTTCTTAAAAATAATAATTAATTGGAAGCTGAGAACAGAAAAAAATTTAAAATTCGGCCACCCAGAGTCATTTGTAAGTACTTGATTAAAATTTATCAATAAAATTGAAATTTTACTAAAAAATGTATTGGTGCTTGAAAGTTAAAGTTGTCGGGTTAACCTCCTCATTATGAAGAGTTCGTAAACTTGACAGCAGTAAATTTTAAACTAAAGTATATAAGTAAGTATATTTTATTGAAATTTTATTTTTGTCGATAAAACTGTTGAGTATTAAAAAAAATGCTTTGCTTTCAAATTTAGGCTAGATAGTTTAAATTTTAGAGCTCTTTGTTTATAGCCCCCGATTTTTTTTTCAGAAACATCTTTTTTTTTTTAAATTAGCGTATAAAAGCTTGGTATTGAAAAAATTTCATGTAAATTACGCGTCTTGACGATCAAAAACAGGTTTTAGGCCATGGCTGAGTAGATTCAGTTTTGTTGTAAAGGTTCTTTTTTGGGAAAAACATGTATTTTGAAACAGCAACTAACTAATGGCGATAAAACATATTGCCCTTCTAACTTGTTATTACGTAATCCAATTAATACGGTAGTTGTTGATTGGCGTTGGTTTTAACAAGCTTTTTAATTGGTGTAATTCTTTTTTTTTATATATTTTTTTTATAAAAAAATAACATTAATTGCAATAAAAACTCTTAATTGGTATCATTGATGATATTAAAACTTTATTACTTATCAGAGGTATTCAAGTTTCTAATTTAATGAAAACGTTTAATCGAACTAAAAGTGGTTATGGTTATAGCAGTTCATCATACTGCCAACAAAATCAGTTTAGACGCATTCTTGAAAACCATTTACGCTGTGATTAATATGTCTGTTATTAAAATAGATACCGTGATTTATTGTAGATATTTACATTGGTAATTATATAAGACATTATGTACATATAGATATACATCATAAGTCGAAGAGGCGACACAACAAATACAAATAATAAATTAATAAATATAAAATTTTTCACGTAAACTTCCTGCTAAAATTATAAGGCTTTTTTTATCTAATTAATTTGTTTTTGAAATAATTTTTAATTGCTAGTAGTTCGAAACTTAAAGAAATAACTTTGGCGAAGAAACCTCATTGATGACAACATAAGATTGTAATATCTATTGGAAAATAAAATACATGAAGATAGTTAAATATTTACTAAAAATGGTAATAGAGTTCATCTCTATATGAACTGCAACAACCAATCGAATTTTTAACGGTTTTGAAATTCTACTGCTATTCGTAATCAAAATTTTTTTGTTAATCCCGTTGACATTTGGTATTTATACCGTTATTATTGATTCCATTGGTATAAATAATCACATTGCAGTTGATGTTCACTTTGTCATTAACGTCGTTTTTAAAATTACTTTGCTATTTAACCATATTCAGTATACTGTATCATTATTACTTAGATTGTTGGTAAATTTTTGATACAAAATATAATATACAATATATATATATATATATATATATATATATATATATATATATATATATATATATATATATATATATATATATATATATATATATATATATATTTGCATAAAAACTACTAAACGCGTATGATAGTAATAGCGAAAATAACTTATCGTTATTTTGTACTCTCATGTGCTTCACACAAGGTGAAGTAGAAATAAAATGACGGGTGGAAGTTTTTTATCGAGATTTAATAAACAATCGGGTAGGTGAAATAAAAGAAGAGGCGAGACTTTTTTAATAAAGAGGTGGGAGGATTATTATATTTTTTTTTAGTGACCTTATATTTACTTTTTTTAAGGCCGGTTTACACTTCAAGTTTTTTATTTTAGTTTGGAGATTTTTTGAATTTTTTTTTTTTGGTAACAAGTAAAAATTAATAAAAAAGGGTGGGGATGCCTTAACAAGTTTGGGGTGATTAGGAAAGGATTCGGAAAGTTATTAAACGTATCTCCTGTGTATTAAGCATTTGAGAGAACAATTTGTAAAAAATCAAAATGAGTTTTAGTAGCTTAAAAAGTGCAAAATTATTATACTTATCAAAAACATGCTAAATCTAATTAAAATAGTTTTAAAACACCGTTTAAAATAATAATATAAACATATAAACATAAATTTATTTATAAATATATATATATATACATATATATATTTATATATATATATATATATATATATATATATATATATATATATATGTATATATATATATATATATATATATATATATATATATATATATATATATATATATATATATATATATATATATATATATATATATATATATATATATATATATATATATATATATATATATATATATATATATATATATAAACAAACAAAAACTCTCACACATTGTGTGGGGAAGTAATATTGCAATATTTAAAATATCGCAATGAAAGTATTGTCGTAATTTTGATTTTCAAAAAACAAAATAAAAAATACAATTGCAAATTGTCGCATTTTTAGCTGTCGGAAAACAAAATCATGAATTATGTCGCAAGTTTATTTTATAAATAGTCTCAAAAACAAAATAAAGAAATAGCGTCATACTTTTCAATTAAGGATATTGAAAATGAAACTTAATAATTGTTAGTTATAAAAGTTGAATTTTATAACAAATTGGCAATAAATTTAGCTATCACGAGAAATCAATAGGTATATTAATATATTAGGTAAGACATGCAAGGAATATGCATACATTGACTGACTTGAATAGGTAAAACGTACAAAAAATGCCGCTACATCAACTACGGATTTTGGTTTGTGTAAGCAATCTAATAATTAAAAAAAAAAACTTTTGGTCTGCTCTATTAACTAATATCTAGTTATATCTAATAATATAAGCAATCTAATAATTTAAAAAACAATATTTGATCTGTTCTATTAACTTGATCAAAAAAAGTCTTTTATTGACAATTGATAAGAAAAACTAAAGACGACCAAGCAATGAAATATATGGATGGTTAGGCGCCAATGCAACATGCAAGTTGAAAAAAATAAATTTCTACTAAAAAATGTTTTATGCAGAGTTTCTTTCCAAACAACAATATACTATAATAAGATAATTAAGAGCATTGGACAGCAATTGCATTTTGTATATTTGGTGTAAAGACTTTTGTTAAAAACTTTTAAACTTTGTGAATGGTTTAAAGAGTTTATATATATATATATATATATATATATATATATATATATATATATATATATATATATATATATATATATATATATATATATATATATATATATATATATATATATATATATATATCCAGGTTCGAAACGAGCTTTAGACATATACAGCGTCACTGTAAGAAAGGAGGTGTGAACTTTCTGGTTAAATGCACTTCCGCGGTACTCTGTGACAAGATCGTTAGGACTTCTTGGGGCACCTAATAAAAAAAAAAACATCTTTAATATATATATGTATATATATATATATATATATATATATATATATATATATATATATATATATATATATATATATATATATATATATATATATATATATATATATATATATATTAAAGATATTGAAGCTGAAAAGTATTACGAAAGTTAAAAAAAAGAAATACAACCATACAATGATATAGCAGATGCTCAGGCTTGGCAGCATGAGCAACTCCAACACCATTTGCAGTGCAATTTTTGTCTAAAACTTTTGTATGAAACTTGTCTAAAAGAGATAAAGCCTCATTAGAAAAACCAGGTCAAATATCAGACCACAAGCTGTGAAAGAGTTTAAGCGAAAAATAGCTGTAGCAACGAAGTGATTAAGATTTTAAAAATAGATAACCAATGGATTTTTCTGGGACGTTATGAAAAGTGTAATTATTTTAACCAAAAGATAATAAAAGGAAAATATATTTGCAAATAGTTTTGCCTTATCCTTTGAAGAAGTATTAAGATCAGACCTATACATCAGAAATGGAACTTTAGACTTTTAATAGTGTTTATGATTTTCACATTTCTAGATTTTTCAGATCTCAATTTTTGAGAAAGTAACTTTTAATGAGATTAATTTCTCCCAGCTTAATAAAACTTAGTGCTTGAAAATAGAAATTTTGTTTTTAAAAAAAGGAGCAAATGTTTATTTGTCTGCCTAAGTCCACGAGTTTACATTTCCAATTTTTAACAGAAAGACATTGCGTAATATTTAACGTTGGTTCAACGTTATATTTTACGTCGGGACAATGTTGTATTTTACGTTGGCAAAACGTTACAATTTAACTTAATTCAAAGTTATATTTTACGTTTGCACAACGTTATATTTATTTTATATCGGAATTAAATTTATTTTACTATATATAGTATTTATACGCATATATAACTGTACTTCTTTATATATTTCATCAATTTTGATGGGTATTGTGGTTTATTCTCTTCTGGCTAACTGTCACACAGAGGGCACATACTCGCGCCCGAGAAGACAAGTTTAGCTCATTAGTATCATTACCCAATTTGCTGACCAAGATTAAGGGAATTTAAGAAGAACAAAAAAATTTAGAATGAAAGTCAGAAAACGAGTTAGAAAGATAGCATAGAAAAAGCGGACAGATATTGTACTGAGTGTTAGAATGTGCAGTTTATACTATTTATTAGTATAATTAAATAATTTATTAGCATAAACGTAATAAACATTGCTGATGACGTTTATTTATACTTATTATTCATTTTAGTATTGTGATTTATCCTCCGGAGGAGGATAAACCACAATACTAAAATGAATAATAAGCCATATGAGGACCGCATTACCAAGGCCCGAAAAGACAAGTTCAGCTTACTAAAGAGCATTGTAACCCACTTCGCAGACAGAGAATAAAGAGTTTTGAGAAGAAAGAAGGAATTAGAGTGAAAGTCAGAAGAGGTCAAGTTAGAAAGAGAGCATAGAGAAAGCGCACAAATATTGCACTAGATGTTAGAATGTACAATTTATACTATTAATTAGGTTACCTAATTAATGTATTAGTATAAACTTAGTCATCATTGCTGATGACAATTTTGGCTAATTGCCATATAGAGGCCACATACCCGGGTCAGCGAAGACAAGTTCAGCTCACTAAAGACCATCATCACCCGCTTTGCTGACCAAGAGTAAATGAGTATAAGAAGAACGAAGTAAGTTTGAGTGAAAATCAGAAGTAGTCGAGTAAGAAAGATAGCATAGAGAAAGCAAACAGATATTGATATTCCTACTATTAATTAGATTTCCTAGTTAATGTAATAGTATAAATGTAATCAACATTGCTGATGAGCTTTGTTTATAGTTTTTATCCATTTTCATGAAATAATTTATACTTAATATAACTAATAATTCTACATCTGATTAACGAGGCATTATTCATGTTTGTTTTGCTTGTGACTTGATTTTTTGTTATACAAGAAAAAGACAAATATATTAGCAAAATATATTTCCATAATCAACTAAAATATTTGGATGAAAAATAATCCTTATAAATTATACAAATATATATTAGTATATATGCCGTTTCACAACGTCGATTCACTGTCTTATCTATATAATATAACGTTATTTTAATGTATATGGATCAACGTTGATCCAATATATATAAACTAAAGTTAATCCATACATATTGAATTAAAGTAGGGTTATAAACGCTGAATCAACATTAATCCATAGGCATTAGATCATGTTGGTTTCTTTTTTTTTTTTTTTTCTTTTTATTACATTTTAAATAAGCATTATGTTACAATATTTAAAATATATAAATATATTATAATAAAAATATATATATAAAAATCGTTATTAAATGATAAAAGAATGCGGGGATTCGAGTACCGCTAAGAAATGTTTGTGTTAAAATTTATAAGATATTTACAAGATAGAAAATAAGTTAACGAAGTAAGAAACTTAAAAAATTCCGTTACAAGTACAAGATACATTATTACATATTACAGTTGTTAATGATATATATATAGTTTATATATATTCATGTTTAAATAGAGGGTAAAAAGGAAGATCACTAAAAAATATCAAAAGTATATTGTTAAATCTTCGATTGTAAAAATGAGTTCTTTAAGCTTTCGTTTAAAAGAAAAGTAGTTACTTTGATGAATAAAAATTCTCAGTAAAATTTTTTAAAACTATTTTATTTCATAAATATGGTCCACGATAATCAATACAAAATTTAAAAAGATTTGTTTGAAAAATGGGCTGCTAAATAAAATTATTAATTTTATCTTTTGATGAATACAAATTATGGAAAGAAATTGGGGATAAATTGGTTTTACATTTAAACATAAAATAAAGAGTATTAAAAATATTAAGCTCATATATATTAAAAACTTTCATTTCAAATAATAGAGGCTTGGCACGAGTATAACGGTCTTTAAAATAGATAAGACGTGCTAAATGCTTCTGCTGGCAATAAAGAGGTTTAAGTTTATTTTTATTTGTACTACTCCAAGCGACGTTTGTATAGTTTATGTGACAATGAAGAAATGAGTGATATAATTGTACTAAAGTATGTTTGTTTTAAAAATTTCTTGCTTTGTACAATATTCCTATACTTTTTGAAATTTTACTTGATAAGTTTTTTATGTGATATTTCCATGTAAGATTTTTTTATCTCTACAAACACCTAGAAAGTTGGTTACTGTTGCTTGTTTAATTTGTATATTGTCAATAACTAGATGAGGCATGTTAATTGGCAGTTTATGTTTTTTGATAAGAGGATGGAAAAGAATCCACTTAGTTTTATCAATGTTAAGTGATAATTTGTTAGCCTTAAACCAGTTAAATATTTTGATTAACTCGATGCTCACGTAATAAAATAGAGTAGGAACAGAGGCATAGACAGAATTTTTTGTTGTTCGCGATAGGTAAATTCCAGACATGGAACAAACTCCAAAAACATATATTTTTATACTTACGTCAAATAATGAGGCTTTGCTAAAATTGCGATATTTCGAGGCTGGGAAACAAAAAGGCCCTAAAATTTTAGCCCCCCTGCCCCAAACGTGAGAGCAACAAGTTGATAAAATATTTTTTGTACTATTCTTAACTAGACTTATATTCATCGATAAATTTTAAGTTTCATAGTAAAATCTCTCAGCGTTTAATAATTATGAACTTACTTAATTTGAACCCCCTCAATTTGAGGGGGTAACAAAATTTAAACGGTCATAATTTATAAACGCTGAAAGATTATACTATAATACTTAAAATTTATTAATGAATATAAGTCTATTAAATCGCGAACAACAAAAAATTCTGTCTACGCCTCTGAGTAGGAATGCTTTTGTGTGACATAAATAAATTAGTGTCATAAGCAAACATAATTGTTTTTAAATCCGAGACTTTGTATAGATCATTAATATAAATAAGGAAAAGAAGAGGTCCTTATATGGAACCTTGAGGAACTCCATATGTAATATTTAACAAATTTGATGAAAATGTTTCATCGGCGTAAACAAATTGTTTACGATTAGTTAAATGAATTTTCATCCATTAAAACATTACCTGTTATACCATAATATTTTAATTTTTTAGCAAGAATTTTATGATCAATGGTATCAAACGCTTTCGCTAAATCTGTGTACAGAATATTCGTAATGTGAATTTAGAATTGTTAAATGAGTCTGATATACTTCTTGTAAGCTGAATAATAGCATGCTCAGATTGAATTATTTTTCTTAAATACATATTGCATGTTATTTAATAATTAGTTTGATAAAAGGTAATTGTATATTCTGTTGTACAAAATTCTTTCTAAATTTTTAGAAAAAACATAGAGGATAGAAATTGGACGTTAGTGTTTTACATGAGATTTTTCTCCTTCTTTAAATATAAGAATAATTTTTGCTATTTTTATATCATCAATAAAAGTTCCCTGATTATTAGAGCATTCAAAAACTCGGAAAAGTATGTCTTTTTTACGTCAAAAACTAATCAAAATTTTGCAATTAACCGATATAAACATAGTTGTTTAATTATGTCTAGTTCTGTTAATTGCAAAAAATTTTTAAATTTAAATTTTAAATTATCTTTTAAATTTAATTAAATTTTATTTTGATTTTAAATTATCTTTTAAATTTAAATTTTAAATTTTTTTACTGGCTTTGAACCATACGACCTTTTTAAGGCTTTAATTAGAATATTTAGAATCTAATGCAAGCAAGTTTAAATATTGGGAGTCAAATTCAAACAAATAATTAAAAAAAAAACAGCAAATGATACCTTAATAAAAAAGTATTAAAACGTATAATAAGTTCAGAGTTTGAATTATGATTAGTATTTACAAGACTTTGACTTTTAATTAAAGGTATGGCATTACACTTTGAGATACCCTTAAATCCCATTATTAAAATTATAGTGTCATGAACTGATTTTTGTATTCTTAAATGCGTATTGCTAGCAGTATGGACTACAAAACAAATTGTAAGTGACACAATGCCAAATGTTTTATAGAAAAATAAAAACCAACAAGGTTAGTTTTAGATTGCATTGAACAATATATTAAAAAGCTTATATTTTTTTGAACCCAGTCTTCACATTTTTCATTTTATAAACATAGAGTTTATGATTGGAAAAAGATATAAAAATAATTATAAAAAATATAGAAGAAGGATTGATTGGAATAGCGCTAAATGGAGCCATAACTTTTGTTAAACATTTTATTAAACACACCATCTTTATACTAATAGTAAAGTTCAAATAAGCCTCTAAGATGAAAACAAAACTGTTTAATAAAAAAACTGCTAAATAAAAATAAAAGTTGCTGCTGTCTGTATTCACATAAAAAGTGCAATATAAATACTATTTAAATTGATAATGGTACCAGAAAATAATAGAACAATCGTTAATTTTTAAAAAAAGTCTTCTATATCTAGAATTTTTTTCAGTTGAAGTTATTTCGCGGAGCTTCTCTTTGTTTAAAACAAAATAGTTTTAAAACATTTTGATTTTTCTCTTAAATGGAGTTTTTCTCTTTCAAGAAAAAGCTTAAATAAATCATTATGTGTCTTGATAATATAGGAGAAAGGCCCCTATGATGGCATACTTAACTTTGAAGTTTCCTGAAGAGTAATAATAAAAGTTTTGATATGGATACATTCCTTGTTATATGTAGAACAATAATAAACATTGGGGTTTTCAACAGTTTTTTTTTATAAGTTATTCCTATTTTAAAAAAAAGCACAAGTATACCATCATAGGCAACCACTGCTCCTATGATTGCATAGGGAAGGATGGGGCTGGTTAGGATCAAGGGTAACTTGATGATTTCATTTAACCTTAGAGTCTTCTTTTAGAAAAGCCAAAAATTACCTGGAACCATCCTAATTTAGCATTTCATGCTACACAGCAGCATTGTAAAATTTCGCGCATGCGTATAGGATATATTGCGTTATGTATTTTTTTGACCAAAAAAAAAAACTTTCGAAGCATTGCTTTCTTTTTACTTTACTAAAAAATAAGTTTTTCTAATAAAAATTTTTTTTTTCCCAACTCGTTAATATTGCAACACACCCAACTCGTTAGTATGCCATCACGGGAAGAAGTCATCATTTTCATTAAAACAAGTTGCATTGTTCAAAAGATAAAATTAAAGTAAGTGTTCCACTAAATGCACAAAACTTGGATATAAAATGCATGAAAATTACCTTTCTGGGCAGGTAATATTAAAACCACAAATATATGAAATATAATAAAACTACAACAGCACATACAAAAATCGATTTTTGTTGACAATATTTATGCACAAAGAACGTAGTTTCACTAAAATAATGTTAAGTTAGTATAGTCATGTAAGCTTAATCTTATTTTCATCAAAATCAATTTTATGAAAATATGACCAGCATGCCATCATAGGCGCCTTCCCCTACTTTTATATTTTTAAACGTTTTATAATTTGCTGTTTTGTTTTTGTTTTTTTAATCTAAATTTTTAATAATTAATTTATTAAATTTATTATAATGTAATTAAATTTTATTCTACATGTAATAAAACTTTATTCTACAATTTAACGAGAAAACAGTAGTGTTAACTTTTTAGTATGTAACTTAATATTATTCTAATACCACTATATTACGGCACTTACTAACACACAGAAATTGTGAAATACTTCAATTTGAACAACTGAAATGAAAAAACAAACTAAAACCCTTAAAAAAGTTGGTTTGCAAATAATTGAAGTGCAGTGTTCCTTACATTGAAAATTTTAGTTTAATTTTCTATATTAGAAATAAATGGTGTAAAACTGAACTTCTTATTATAAAAGAATGTCAGTATTTTCTTTAAAAATATTTTTTGTGAAAGAAATATTTTAAATTTGAATTGTTTTGCTGCAATTATGGAGGGCCAACAACACCAGGGGGCCGGGGGGCACCCTGGCCCCCTTACTCTTCTCTAAAGGTCTTTTTTAAGGAAAATTTTAGGTATAGAGGGATTCTTTTAGAAATTGACGATTGTGCCTCTCCACTTAAAAATCCGTGGTGTCGGCCATATTATGTACCTAATTATATGCTGCCTAAATCATCATTTAATTCGTTAGTTTTAATCATCATTCACCAGTTCAACTTACATTATTCACCAGTTCCACTTAGTTTTATAAATTTTATGGTAAATCTAATGCAAGGAACAAAAAAAGCAAAACATTTTTATTTTACTTAAGCGTAATTACTTTTAAAGTAAGAGTTTCCATAATAACTTAAAGTATCTTATCTAAAACATTAACAAATTCGATCGGCGTCCACAAAGCGTATCTACACTTTTATCCCCCTTGTTGCTTCGTTGAGTTGTTTTAAAAATAACAATGAAAATTATTATCTTAAGTCACAACATCAAAAACAGAATAAACATAAATATAACTCTTATATTTTTAACAGCCTATTTCAATAGAATGTGTGCATTCTTTTAAATGTTAAACAACTTTTAAATGTTAAACGTACAAATTATTTGCAAAATTAACAATTATATTTAATAATATAAACAGGTTAGCAAAGCTATAAACAGGTTCGCAAAAATTGTTATAAGTAAACTTGAAAAAGTTAATAATGATACTAGTTGATTGTTTTCTCATTTTTTAAAATGTAGTTATTGTAGCATAGCGATAGAAAGTTTATTTGTTATACTAATAACTACTAGTATATTTAGAATTAAAAACTTACCTTTTTTAACAGTTTTTTTACAACTATTATTGTGTATAAATTATTATGTAGGGCCCTGCGAATCGGAATTTTTGTTTCGAATCGAATCTTGAATCAAAGCAGGTCTCAATTTGCGATTTGAATCAGGTTTCGAATCAACATTTCGAAGTCTAAATTTAAGCATTTTTTATTTAATGATATATATTTCAAAATAAAATAAAAATAAAACAATTGTATTTGATGCTCTTTATTAATGTTTCTTGCCCTGTTTAACCTTTTTAATGACAAATTAAAAAGGTATTCAAAAACAAGTAACGTTATTTTGATTGCGCCAAAGAGCAGAATATCTAAAATACCCATAATAATAACAAAATAAGTAAGGATTCGATTTTTGAAAATTTTTGCATCGTATCTTGAATCTCGAATATTTGATTCGATTCGAAATTTCGAAGCCTCGCAGGGCCCTATTTTTATAGTAAATTGAGGGCTTGGTAAATAAGAAATAGTTAAATTTTTCTACAACAAAACAATTCCAAGGACCAATTTCAATACTAATATTATAAATAACTATTAAATAATAATCTTACATTTTAGATTAGTTCGAAAAGACTAAATATTGAAAAAAATTTTAATCTAAAAATTAAATAACGAAATAAATGACTTATTTCGATAGAAATTATTTTTCATGATATAGAAGTTATATTTGTTCACATTTAAAATGTGAACAAATATAAAACGTGCTATTCGCGAATAAACATAATCAAAATATTTCCAACGTAATTATTTTTGGCCGTGTTTTTGTAAACTGAAAATTATTTAACTGATCTTGTTAAGCCAGATGTCTTGATTACTTGTCTAATCATACTTTTAGGACTTATTGCAAAAAAATTATTAAAAGCTTTCCCTTTCTATTTAGTTTTCTGTAAAGTTTCTTTTACAGCCTGAGCGAACAATTGACCTTGCCACATTGGTCGGTGTCTCGTTAGAGAGCAAAATAACATCTTAGTTTTTAAAGAGTTAAAAACTCGGAGAGAACAAAACCTTTTTCACTTTGAACAAGTTTTTTGTACTTTCTCTTAAAATCTTTCAATGATCTGTTGCAAAATTATAAACTGGTTACACAAAAAACCTTTAGACAATCTTTGAATAAACGTTCAAAAACTGATAATGATTCAAGAGTTTCAAAATAGTATGTGTATACCCATGGCAAGTCTATATTATTATAGAAAAAAAAAATCTTTTTTTACCTGATTTTATTTTTACTTGTTCACAAATTGGTCACTTACGTGTTCAATTCTATTCGACAAAATCAAACTGAACACTTACGTGTTCAATTTGATTCAATCCTAACGCTGCAACACCCTAACATTTAATACAAAATCATGTGAACTTTATTGCGATTTTTGTTTATCAAGTAAACATTAAAAAATATTTTTTAATGTTTACTTAAAAAATTATAGTCTTTCTTTGATGTAATTTTCTTCTTGTGATTTTGATGAATAATAGAGTTTTTTCCGAGAAAAATTTGTTTACTTTTCGATTTAAGTAAAAACGTAAAATATCAGTTTCAGTATAATTTTTTTACAAAACAAAAAATAAAAAAAACTAAAAGTTAGTTCAAAGTTTTGAAAATTTTTGAAAATAAATTCAAAATAAGCTGTAGACCAGAGAAACTGGGGACCAGAAAGACTGGTGACCAGAAAGACTGGTGACCAGAAAGACTGGTGACCAGAAAGACTGGTGACCAGAAAGACTGGTGACCAGAAAGACTGGTGACCAGAGAAACTGGCAGATTCTATACTAAATTAAACTTTGCTATTTTTTTTTTTTTTTTTAGGTTATTTAGGTGCTTCCAGAAGTCCTTATAGTCTTATCACGGAGCCCCGCGGTAGAGCATTTAAGTAGAAGTTCACGCCTTCTTCCTTACCAGTGTCGCTTATAGGACTAGAGCCGACGTCGAACCTAGGACCTCTGGGTTCTAAGCCAGAACTCTAACCACTACGCTACGGCTGCGATTTGACTTTATGTTTATTAAGAATAATATAAAAACATCGCCTTAAAAAACAATGTATTGTTCTCTTTAAAAGTTATATTTTTATCTATAGATTAAAATCTCACTTTTAACATTTTAATAACTAATTAAACTAACAACTTTAATAAAAATGTTAACTTATAATCATTTTAATTTTATTTTTGCTTTGAATTTTATCTATAGATAAAGTTCTAAGAAACAAATACTCAGGCTATTTTATAATGATTTTAAACTTTCTTAAAGCGCTCTTGTGACTGTATTGCGGTCAGTTGAAACTGTTGTGGATCAGCTGAAACTGTTGTGCTGCAGCACAACAGTTTCAGCACAACAGTTTCAGCAACAGCGCTTAGTTCCTACAGCATGCTGTAGGAACTAAGCGCCATAAGATTGGAAACTCACAATAAGATTAAGGTTAAAATAAAAATCAAGGAAGTATTTTTTTCATTGAAAAGTAATACTTATGAAAACAATGAATTTATTAATAATATTGGTGCCTTTGTATTAGAATTATCTATTAAGCCAGTAAAAAAAGACATTTTTTTGCTTTAAGAAGTGCCTAATCTCATATGACTTTACAAGACATACAAACTTAGGATTTTTCAGTATGCCTTTTGATTTTATGACAAATAAAACTAAATCGTCTTCTATTCCTACTAAACAGCTTTAAATCCTTCTCAGATTTTTGAGACATTTTGCGAAATAATCTTCTAATTTTTTTAGAATCGTCTCAAACATAAACTTTATGTTGAGAAAAATTGTGGCTTAAAGCTGATGGTGAAACAGAAACATTTTATTACGAATTTTTTTTAAGCTGTTGATAGTAAAGAAAATTTTTTAATCAGAAACTAATAAACTTTTGAAAATTTCTATAGAATTTCTATAGAATGTCTATTAAATTCAATAGAAATTGCTATAAAACTTTTTTTTTCTATAAAAAAAGTAGAAAAAAATTTTTAATAGGAACTTTTACAGAAACTCTACAGAATTCTATAGAATTTCTATAGGCTATATGTTTCAAAAGTTTATATAAAATTCTATAAAACTTTTTTTCCTGAGTTAGTATTTCCTACTTCTGTTTTTTAAAAATATTTTGCGTTGCGTAATTTATGGAAAATCCCTAATCAGAATTAAGTTCTTTCAGAAATTTCTAAATGTTAAAAAAAAAGATAACTGCAGCAGTTTTTCAAACTTTTAAACAAATTGAGTTTTTTTTTTTTGCCATCAAACTATTATTTTTGAAAAAAATTGACTCAGAATTTTTTTCAAACATAACTTTAAAACCAATGTTATATAATTAGCATATCTAAAACTTGTATAAATTTCATAACCATAAGTGTTATAAAAGCAAACTTAAAATGATGTTCATAAAGTTCAGAAACTAACATTCAAACAATAAAAGAAATAGATAAAGTTGACAAGATGTCCTCAAAAAATGAATTTGGATTAATTTACGAAAGTTATGAGAAAAAATACTAATTTTAATTTGTATTTTTTCTCACAACTTTCGTAAAAATTAATTCTTGTCTCAATAAATAAAAAGATAAAAACTATAGCATCTGTAAAGTTTCGGAAGTTTAAGTGAAAATATTATTATTTTGTTATTAAATTTATTATTAAATATTATTATTAAGTATTTTGACTCTTGATAAATAACTTTAAATTATAACAACTGACTCAAATGTTATTTTTAGGGTTTGCAATCCCAGAGGTCTTTCTCAATCCCGGGATTGATCCCGCGATTAATAAACAGATATAGCATCTATATAGTAATAGGTAGAATAAAAACAGCACACTCTTAAACAAAAATATATTTTATAAATGATGCTATTTACATTACATCGTCACATGCGTAGAAGAAAAACACGTTAATTAATGTTAAGAAATTTCATTAGAAATAAGGAAATACATCATGTTTCATGTACTTTAAAATGTGACTTCAGGAAGCACAATGCGTCCAATGTTTCATCGCCCAACCTGTTACAAATTTTATTGTTAAACAGTCCTCCGGAAAAAATGCCCGCTGAACCTCGACACTTTTCGGTTTCACCGTCATCAGAAATGAATAAACTCTTTCTAAGTAATCACCACGTGTACCACCATTTTCAAATCATGTCATTTCTTTTTGAATTTTTTATAACAATGTTTCATTTCTAACTGTTTGCATCGGTAATTGTGCTTCTTTAATTATACTATCAAACTCCTCTTCAATACTTAAAGTGTTATTTTCAGTTTCAGGTTCTTGAATAAAATCTAGCATATCAGACTTTACTAATTCTCTTATTAAAACAGGATTGGAAACGTTTAATTTTTCCAGCAATTCTACCAACAGTTTTCAACATAAATATAAAGAAGGCACTGTAATTATTTCTTCATCGACTTCAATTGAGCTTTGACCGTTATGCAGATATTGCAGAAGTATACTCATATCAGTTCGGCGTTCATGTATACGAGCCATTAAATTAGTACGCATTTCCTTGCTTGTGTTATTGTCAGCATCTTTTAATTTTGTAACCATAGAATTAATATCAATTTCAGTTTTAAATAGGTTAGGTGTGTATTTCAGCTGTATGTCAGCTGTAAATAAATTAATGCCAGCTGTAAATAGGTTAAAATCTTGGCGAGAAAGTGCTTCAACCGTGGCTTTAATAGGAACTAAAGTGTTAATAATGTTTGATAACATTGTCAAATCATCATGCGACAGAACTATAGAATTATCTTGCACTGAGTAAATATCATTTAATGATTTTTGTATACAATTTTTTACTTTATAAAATCGTTAAAGCATAACACAGAAAGCTGCTCCACATTGTTTTGCAATCCATAATTAAAGACAGTTGTTTTCCAAGTTCAGTCTCATTATATTTTTGTAAAATGTCGTTGTTGGTTGGTGATCGTCTAAATATTATTATCAACTCGGATACTTTTTTAATGACTGGTCAATAATGAGCTTCATTTAGTTCAATTTTAGATCTTAAAGTTTCATGATTGTAGTAAATCTTCCTCAATATCCTCCTTCTCGGTTAAATCACAGTCAAAAAATTCATTTTCAAATTTTGGCTGATTTGCATCGAATTCTCTTTTATTATAAAGATCATCAATTACAGCAAGTTGTATGCCGTAGGCAAAACATAATTGTTGATTTGCAGCCATCAACCTCCTAACTTTTTTCATAACACTAGCTCTGTCGGTCATTATAGCCACAATGTCGCCTTGTAAATCAAGACAATGGTCTTTAAGTTTTTTTTTTAATAGTTCAATGCACATTTCTTCTAGCATTGACCCTGTCATTCGCACTAAGGCCAAACTTCAAAACTGAGAATTTTTTCCATTAACGTTAACATTCATATAGCGACGATTTCGAAGTGACGTCTATTCATCAAAAGACAAAGAAAATTTCTCTTCTACCCCGAATTCTGTACTCTTAAGCGCTTTAATTTGCTGAACTAAACTTAATCTTACTTTTTTGGTGTACTCTATTACATGATTACGAGTTGTGTTTACTGACATTGGTTGATTTCTGAATCCCATAGCAATTAGAGCGGCACGTAAATCTATTGAAAAACAAATCACATTAAATGAAAGCCCGTCAGACGCCGTCAGACAAGCAAGTGTAGCGTGAGGTGTTTTATCTTCCTATTCAAAAATCGAAAAGTATTCTGTTAGTTGTTTAGATTTCTTTTTTGGTGGTTTATCTGATGTACTTTAATATTATTTTGGGTTGGACTTTCGACCTTCACATTATGCACCGACAACATGTGTATATGAAGTCCTTTTATTGAACCACCACTAAATTTAAAAATCTTCTTGCAGTATGGTAATTTACACATCGCTGTTTGTCCTTTTTTTTCGTAGAAAATATTTCCAATTAGCTGAGTTACTTTTAATTGTAAAATCTACATAAGCCATGCTTATTTAAGTTGTAACCTTGCAAGAAAGACGCGTTTTTTTTTTCAGTTTAAAAAAGTTTATTTTGCAGAATTACAGAACAGAATGCTGAAATTAGAATTACTTTATATTGAGATATTAAACTAAATAAAAGTTATTATATTGATGCGCATAAATTGTTGTTATTTTTATTTATTTTTTGGTTTCCCCTTTGTTTTGCTCGATCGTATAAGGAATCCCGGGATTGATATTAGACAATCCCGGGATTTCGGGATTGTAAAAAAGGCCGGGATCCCGAGATCGCAAACTCTAGTTATTTTGTGTATTTAGTATAAAACAGTTAAAAAACATAACAGGGAAA